ATGCTGGCGTTACAGGCAGCTTAACCTGCTGTGCCACAAACACCCTCCCCCGAAAGCTTTCAAATTTGGGGGGCCGCCAAGAAAAAAGAATCTACCAAAGAAACCTTTAGGGGTAAAAGACCCATGTTTTCAGGGCCGGGCCCCCGGCTCCCCTAGGCTTAATCTCCCCCCTAGCGGCGCCGGCACACCGGGGTTCTAGTCCCGGGTCGGAGCCCCGGATTCTGTCCCGGTTGCCCCCTTCTTCCAGGCCAGCCCTCTGCTGTTGCCAGGGAGTGCAGTGGAGGATGGCCCAGGTGCTTGCCCTGCACCCCATGGGAGACCAGGAAAAGCACCTGGCTCCTGGCTCCTGCCATCGGATCAGCGCGGTGCACCGGCCGCAGCGCGCCGGCCGCGGCGGCCATTGGAGGGTGAACCAACGGCAAAGGAAGACCTTTCTCTCTGTCTCTCTCTCTCACTGTCCACTCTGCCTGTCAAAAAAATAAATAAATAAATAAATAAATTAAAAAAAAAAAAGAAAAAAAAAAAAGACCCATGTTACAGGAAAGGTTGCAGCAAAATTTAATTGTAGTTGGATACTTGGGTACAGTTCTTGATTTAAATCATCAAATAATGATTATGTGACCTCAGAGCCAAAGAACAGAGCTTTTTTTTTCCTTCTGAAAATCCACATGTTTTCATTTATAATTTTAGAAGTTATTTTAAGGGGCTGGTGTTGTGGTGTAGTGAGTGAACCTACCACCTGTAATGCCAGCATCCCATGTGGGTGTCAGTTTGGGACCTGGCTGCTCCACTTCCCATCCAGTTCCTTGTTTTTTTTTGTTGTTGTTGTTGTTTTGTTTTGTTTTGTTTTGACAGGCAGAGTGGACAGTGAGAGAGAGAGAGACATAGAGAAAGGTCTTCCTTTGCCGTTGGTTCACCCTCCAATGGCCGCTGCGGCCGGCGCGCTGCAACCAGCGCACCACGCTGATCCGATGGCAGGAGCCAGGTACTTATCCTGGTCTCCCATGGGGTGCAGGGCCCAAGCACCTGGGCCATCCTCCACTGCACTCCCTGGCCACAGCAGAGAGCTGGCCTGGAAGAGGGGCAACCGGGACAGAATCCGGCGCCCCAACCGGGACTAGAACCCAGTGTGCCGGCGCCGCTAGGCGGAGGATTAGCCTAGTGAGCCGCGGCGCCGGCCCCAGTTCCTTGTTAATGCACCTGGGAAAGCAGCACAAGATGGCCCAAGTGGTTGGACCCCTTCTACAATATGTGGGAGACCTGGAAGAAGCTCCAGCTTCCTTGCTTTGGCCTGGCCAGCATTGCAGGCATTTGGAGAATGAACCAGTGGATGGAAGATCAGTCTCTCTCTGTCTGCAACTCTGCCTTTCACATAAATAAAGTAAATATTTTTTAAGAAAAGTTATTTTAAATGCCTTACCCAATTAAATTTCTTTAAATACATTGTTCTCCAATTTTTTTCTTATTCAAGAATTATGACAACTTAGTTAGTGTTACATTTTGCTCTCCTTAGTGTGAGTGTTAGGTTTTTATTTGCCACCATAAGTTACCACAAATGGAACAGCCTAAATAACAGGGTTTCCTGGAGGCCTGTCAGGCACAAATAGGACATGGGTCTCACCAGGCTGGAAGCAGGACTCTGGCTTTGTCACCTTCCTTACTCAAGGTTCTGGGTGTGGTGCACTTCCTGGCCTCTTCCAGCTTCTAGAGGCGGCCCACGTTCCCAGCTGGGGGCCCTGTCCCATCTTCAGATGGCAGAGGTGAAGTGAGCCCGCTCATACCTCATACCCTCTGACTAGCGCTCGGCACCCCTATCCACTGTTGAAGACCCCGTGACTGGGATCATGCTGGCCCTCCTAGATAATGAAGAATAACCTTCTTGTATCAAGGTCGGTTGACTGGCAGCCTCGATTTCCCCTTTCCATTGGAACCCTCAGTAGTATTGTAGTTTCTGCAAACACCACATGCATGTCAGGACAGGATGTGGACCTCTGTGTGTGTGTGTGTGTGTGTGTGTGTGTGTGTGTTTTGGGGTTGAGAGGGCATTATTTTGCCCCTCATAGTATGTCATGCCAATACTTAAGAGCTTTCTGGGGCTGGCGCCGTGGCTCACTTGGTTAATCCTCCACCTGCGGTGCCGGCATCCCATATGGGCGCCAGGTTCTAGTACCGGCTGCCCCTCTTCCAGTCCAGCTCTCTGCTGTGGCTCGGGAAGGAAGTGGAGGAAGGCCCAAGTGCTTGGGCCCCTGCACCCACATGGGAGACCAGGAGGAAGCACCTGGTTCCTGGCTTCAGATCGGCGTAGTGCACCAGCCATAGCAGCTATTTGAGGGGTGAACCAACGGAGGGAAGACCTTTCTCTCTGTCTCTCTCCCTCACTGTCTAACTCTATCTGTCCAAAAAAAAAAAAAAGAAGAAGAAGAAGAAGAGCCTCCTAAGGGAACAGTTGTAATTTGGGTTCAGACATCATTTGTGTCATCACATCACAATTGTATTCAGATCGCGGTCTTACTGGTGGAAAATGCTAGAGCTCTCAAGAAGCAGATTTCCTTTTAGTTGCATTTACACTGATTCCCAGACAGTTTCCCCCTCATCCATTCTTCTCTTTCTGAAGGTTCAATTACCAAAGTCAACCACAGTCTGATAATACTAAAGGGAAAATTCCAGAAAGAAACCATTCATTACTTTTAAATTGTAGGGCGTGCTGAGTAGCCTGATAACATCTTGCAGTGTGCTGCTCCATCCCCAGGACACACATCATCCCTTTGTGCGGGTTCTGCCGTACACACGCTGCTCACATGTTAGGCCCGTAGTAGTCACCTTGGTCATCAGGTTGGCTGTCTTGGTCATGACATCTCAGTGTCTGTGTTCAGGTCATCCTTGTTGTTCTTAGTGACGGCCCCAAAGCACAGGAGTAGGGATGCTGACAACGCAGAGATGCCAAAGAGAAGCTGTGAGTGATGCCTTGAGGTGAAAAAGTGATAGGACAAGGAGACATCCTGAGAGGAGAGAGAGATCACATTCACATAACTTTTATCACTGTACATCGTCATATTGTTCTGTTTTTTATATTCTTACCGTGGGGCGTTACTACCCGACGTGGTTAAATCAACCCTTCAATCTCTGTGATCTCTCCAAAGTTTACTGAGTTGATGACACATAGCTCAATGTTTGTCCAGTGGGCTGATTTTGTTCCTGCACAGGGCTCTGGACAATGCTGGCAGATATCTTTTGGTTGTCACACTGGGAAGAAGGTACTACTGGCATCTAGTGGGTACAGGCCAGGAATGCTGCCTGACCGCCTACAGGGCATGGGACAGCCCACTAGAACCAAGACTCAGCCAGTGCTGAGCATCCACAGTGGTGAAGTGTCACACCCTCACTAAGCATGATGGCAACCTAAGGCACCCCCCCCAACATCTTTCTTATTTTTAAGGCTAAGTCTATATATTTCAAATAACTACATATTATGTGAGTGTGCTTCAAAAAGTTCATGAAAAATGTGTTTTATGAAAAAGCTATACATGGACTTCAAAATGTCTTGCACCAAAGCAGCTTATTGTTTGTTTGTTTTTTAAGAAAGCTTTTACTTAATGAATACAAATTTCATTGGTACAGCTTTAGGAATATAGCAGTTCTTACCCCTATACCTGCCCTCCCCCTCCTACTCCCGTCCCACCTGCTACTTACTCCCTCTCCCATCACATTCATCATTAAGATTCGTTTTTAATTAACTTTATATACAGAAGACCAACTCTGTACTAAGTAAAGATTTCAACAATTTGCACACATACACACAAATTATAAAGTAGTTTGAAAATAAGTTTTACATTTAATTCTCATAGTAAAACTCATAAAGGACAGAGGTCCTACATAGGGAGTAAGTGCACAGTAACTCCCATTGTTGATTTAACAATTAATACTCTTATTTATGACGTCAGTGATCACTCGAGGCTCTTGTCATGAGCTGCCAATGCAATGGAAGCCTTTTACCATCAGTATTTAGACAGGGCCATAAGCAAAGTGGAAGCTCTCTCCTCCCTTCAGAGAAAAGTATATCCTTCTTTGATGGCCCCTTCTTTCCACTGGGATCTCACTCACCAAGATCCTTCATGTAGATTATTTTTTGCCACAGTGTCTTGGCTTTCCATGCCTGAAATGCTCTCATGGGCCTTTCAGCCAGATCTGAATGCCTTAAGAGCTGATTCTGAGGTCAGAGTGCTATTTAGGGTGTTTGTTGTTCTATGAGTCTGCTGTGTGAACTGCTTCCCATGTTGGAACATTCTCCCCTCTTTTAATTCTATTTATTGTTATTACCAGACACTTGGTCTTATTTATGTGATCCCTTTGACACTTAAGCAGCTTATGTTTTCATTCTGTTTTTCCATCAACCTTTTTAAAAAAAGTATCTATGTATTTATTTATTTGGCAGAATGACAGAGAGAGATAGATCAATCTTCCTCCTCTGGTTCCCAAATGCCTACTACAACTGGGGCTGGGTCAGGCTAAAGTCAGAAGCCAAAAACTCCATTCTAGTCTCCCACAAGGATTACAGGGACCCAGGTACTTGGGCCATCATCTGCTGCCTACCCAGGCCCATTAGCTGGAAGCTGTATCAGAAGCCAAATAGTTAGGCCTGGAACCAGTGCAGTAGCTCAACCCGCTGTGCAACAACTCCCATCCCTTCTGCCAACTTTCTGATTCCCTTGTACTAAGATCCAGCTAGTGATTAGATACTAGAATATTGATTAGAATTACAGTCATATTGCTTGGTTTAGATATTGTATTATATTAGTTGAATAATGAGTCGGCAACTAAAGTTTCAGTCAGTTTAGCTGGAGGAAGCAAAAGCCGTGTGGATCTGTGCACGGCGTCGGTGTGACTGTGAAAGGTAATAGTCTACTGAAAGAAGATGGTTAGAACTGGAGGCCACGTTGAAGGAGCCGGAGCCCTTCTCTCATGGTTCTCATCTCTCTGCTTGTTCTTTATCAATATTTCAGATGTCCCTGGCTCAATGCCCAATGCATCCTGGACTGGGAACCTTCGAGCTGTCAAGTGGAATGACATGGAGGATAAACACGGAGGCTGCCATGGTGAGGCGTTCACTTCATGCTTTTCAGCTGTGCTGCTTGTTGGTGTTGGCGTGGATGCAGTTGTGGTCTACAGATGTTCTCGGATAGAGACAGAACTGCTGATATATTCAGACCAGTCTGCTCCTAATTAAACAGTGAAGCCAGAGGCTTCAAGATGTAGCTTTAGAAAATATCTCACACACATACTCCCTTTGTAATCACCTAGGGAGATGTAGAGAACATTCAAATTGTAATGGTACTTTCTTCTTGCTAGTGTCAGTTCTCTCTCTCTCTCTCTCTCTCTCTCTGTCAAAAGCAGAGAACAGAGACAGAAACAGCTCCCATCTGCTAGGTCCCATGCCCACAATGTCTGGGATGGGGTAGGGAGAAGAAGCCAGGAGCTGGGAACACAATGCAGTCTCCCATGTGGGTAGCCAGAATCCAGTAACTGGAGCCATCAGCACTCCCTCCCAGGGTCCACATCAGTAGGAAGCTGGAATTTAGAGATGGAGTCAGGGCTGTTGTGTCACAGCAGGTTAAGTCACTGCCTGTGACACCTGCATCCCATATGAGCACTGGGTCAAGTCCTGGCTGCTCAACTTCTGATCCAGCTCCCTGCTAATGTGCCTGGGTAGGCAACAGAAGATGGCCCAAGTGCTTGGGCCCCTGCCACCCATGTGGGAGACCCAGATGGACTTCCTGGCTCCTGGCTTCAGCCTGGCCTAGCCCCAATCATCACAGCCATTTGGGGAATGAACCAGTGGATGGAAGATCAATCTCTGTGTCACTCTGCCTTTCAAATAAATAAAATAAACCTTAAAAAAAAAAAAAAAAAAAAGGAGCTGGAGATATCCAACACAGGACGTGAGTGTCTTCACCACAAGGCCCAATGCCTACCCATAATTCCAGCTTTCTTATTCCTCTTGCTCTTCCTTTGGGCAGGGTAGCTGTTGGAGAAGAAGTGAAGTCATGTTCTCACTACAAAGCACCACACGTCGGCCCCCGCTCTCCCCACAGACAGGCTGAGAAACAGCTTGGAGAGCTGCAGCTGTTTGTTTCAGCTCTGACTGGACAGCAGGGGACACTACTAAGAGAAGGTTGTCCTGCAAAAGGACAAGAACTAGAAACACTGAGTGGTTTTCATTCTACAGGATCTTAGGACATCCTGACACACCGTCCATCCAGAGCACTGCGCGGCACACAGTGGACGTGTGTATAAGCCTGCTACAGCTACCGTGACCAAGTAGCACAGATTGGGTGACTCAAATAACAAAAATGAATTTTCTCAAAGTTCTGGAGGCTGGAAATCCAAGGTCAAGGAGTCCCCAGAGCCAGTTCCTGCTGAGGCCTCTCGCTTGGCTTGTAGGTGGCTGTCATCGCCCTGTATCTTTTCATGGTCTTCCCTCTGTGTGTGTGTGTGTGTGTGTGTCCTAATCACCCTTAAGACTTCATTTGAAGAGAACGACCTCTTTAAAGACCTTCTCCCTTCTGAAGCACCAGTGTTAGGATTGCACATGTAAATTTGGACGTGCACACAAGTCAGCCTGCAGTAAACGTTTATCCAGGAGCCTGGTGTTGTGATGCAGTAGGTTAGTTCACTGCCTGTGACACTGGCATCCCATATTGATGTCAGCTCGAGTCCCAGCTGCTCCACTTCCTTTTTTTTTTTTTTAATTTATCTATCCATTTGATTTTCAGAGTTACACAGAGAAGGAGAGGCAGAGAGAGAGAGAGAAATAAATAAATCTTTAACAAATAAATATTTATCCAGTGAGTGAATGAAATAATGAGGATTTGTAGGTTGAGTCTTTTCTCCTTATTATCACAAGGCTTTGGCTACTCTTCCATTCAATCTAGAGTTTCACTCATTTGCTTGTCTTATCTACACCTGAGGTTTCAGCTGGAAATCTCTACATTGCTGCTTCTCTCTCTCTCTTTTTATTTATTTAAGATTCATAATTACACACAGAGAGAAGGAGAGGCAGAGAGAGAGGTCTTCCATCTGCTGGTTCACTCTCCAACTGGCTGCAACGGCCTGAGCTGTGCCAGTCTGAAGCCAGGAGCCAGGGGCTTCTTCCAGATCTCCCACACAGGTGCAGGGGCCCAAGCACTTGGGCCATCCTCCACTGCTTTCTCAGGCCACAGCAGAGAGCTGGATCAGAAGTAGAGCAGCCAGGAGTTGAACCAGTGTCCATATGGGCACTGCAGATGGCGACCCTACCCACTATGCCAAAGCGCCAGTCCCACTGTTTCTCTTAAGACTCTCCACCAGGCCGGTGCCGCGGCTCAATAGGCTAATCCTCCGCCTGCGGCGCCAGCACCCTGGGTTCTAGTCCCGGTCAGGGCGCCGTATTCTGTCCCGGTTGCCCCTCTTCCAGGCCAGCTCTCTGCTGTGGCCCGGGAGTGCAGTGGAGGATGGCCCAAGTGCTTGGGCCCTGCACCCCATGGGAGACCAGGATAAGTACTTGGGTGCTGCCATCGGATTAGCGCTAGTGCTTCCAACCATAGGTGGTGGCCCTCTGGAGGGTGACCAAACGACAAAAGGAAGACCTTTCTTTCTGTCTCTCTCTCTCACTGTCCGATGCCGCCTGTCAAAGAAAGACACACAGAAAAGACTCTCCACCAACCCCAACTGCATGCTCATGTTGGTCTCTTGTTAGTCCCTCCACTGTGGATGACAGCGTTCTCACCTCACCATGCAGAAATTTCAGCCTGTTCTTGTTCTTAGGCATTTTCTTGCTGTTACCTTAAGTGGCCCACGTTTTCCCCAGAGGGTGGTGCACCTGCCTACTTTCCCATCGCGGCCCGACTCCTCCCTGTGGAAGGAGGATGGGGAAGACACCACTTTGCTTTCTGATCTAAGTCTCCCTTAGAAAACAGACCTCACATCAGTCAGGCTCCCAGTATGTGGACATGTTGTGTTCTCCACATCCTCCCATCAACCACCTCTGCCTCCTTCCAGACCACACAGTCAGCCGCTGCCCTGCTTCTACACCTCCTTGCCACCTCTGACACTTGAGGACTTAACTGTGCACCCCACCCCACACCAAGTGACCCACACAGCATTGCCGCCTTCCTCATCACAGAAGCTCACCCCACAAGTGGACTTGGCTCCAATCTCATGGTCATGACCTGCACCCAGCTCTACCCTGGTAGAGAAGATAGAGGCCAGACAGGCTTGCAAATTTTAAAACATCTCTTTATTTTACAATTTATTTGAAGGGCAGAGAGACTGAGAGAAATCTTCCATATGATCTTTCACTCCCCAGATGTGTGCAACAGCCCAACAGCCAGGGCTGGACCTGGCTGAAGTAAGGAGCATGAAACTCCATCGGGTCTCGCACTTGGGTAGTAGGAACCCAGTACTTGAGCCATCACCTGCTGCCTCCCAGGTATGCAATAGCAGGAAGCTGGATCAGAAGCAGAGATAACGGGAGGGCAGTGGAAGGTGGCCCAAGTGCTTGGCCCCTGCATCTGCATGGGAGACCAGGAGGAAGCACCTGGCTCCTGGCTTCTGATCAGCGTAGCTCCAGCCATAGCGGCCATTTAGGGGGTGAACCAATGGAAGGAATGTCTCTCTCTCACTAACTATGTCAAATTAAAAAAAGAAGAAGAAGAAGAAGCAGAGCTAAGACTCAGGCGCTCTCATATAGAATGTGGGCAACTTAATTGATGCACCAAATACTTGCCCCAGTGGGCTTGCATTTCTGCAGGAACCCCTACTGATCACATGGTATATGTGGCCAAGACAGCTGGTCCTGGCCAGGAACCAGTATTCAAAGCTTGGGTAGCCCTACCCTCTCTCAGATGAATGTTTCATTTTTCTGATTTGAGTTCCTGTCATGCCAATGTAAATTTTTTTAAGACTTTTGTTTTAAAGATTTATATATTTATTTGAAAGAGTTACACAGATAGAGAAGGAGAGGCAAAGAGAGGTCTTCCATCCTCTGATTCACTCCCCAGTTGGCCACAACAGCCAGAGCTGCACCGATTCAGAGGCAGAAGCTTCTTCCTGGTCTCCCACGTGGGTGCAGGGGCCCAAGGGCTTGGGCCATCTTCTACTGCTTTCCCAGGCCACAGCAGAGAGCTGGACTGGAAATGGAGCAGCCGGGACTTGAACCAGCACCCATATGGGATGCCAGTACTGCAGGTGGCGGCTTTACCCACTACGCCATAGCGCCAGCCACAGCCAATGCACATGTGATACCTTTATACATTTAAGAGCTCTAATATTGTCTAGTTCTCCAAACCACTGTATAGGGAAAAGTTCACAGTACACAGGTAGAACATTGCTTGCCAAACCAGTAATACAATCCGGTCCTTTTCCCCTTGTCTGGAGGTCATTAGACTTGTGTATACCTCCTTTATCAGCCTCCTGGCACTCAGCACGGTCTGGAATTTGGAGCTCCTGTTTCTGTTTATAATCTCTTCGTCACTCTGCTGCTGATTTCTTCACTGGTTTCCATACAATATATTTTTCTTTCTTTCTAGAACAGAACAGATGCTGCACGGGGGCTGGGGTTTTGACATTTTGTGCACTATTATGCTCCCCGCACCTGAAACGTGTTGATGTGTAAAATGTTTTTGTTTGAGCTGAGATTTCCAGAGGTTCAGCATTTCCGGCTTCTTCCTGAAACTCCTGGGGAACTCCCTGTGTGATCTGGGTGCTGGGATCAACCAGTGTGTGCCATCCTCACCCACATCCGAGCTTCCCGTGCCATTCTGACCCTACGAGGCTGACTCCTAAGCTGGGAATAGACTCGTTCACTGTCCTGCATGGGGTGGAGAACGTCTGACCTGCAGGCCATCTAAGGCCCAGAAAATCACTGGGCCTGGCCCTGCCAAGGCAGCTGCAGGCAGGACTTGAAATTCAAAATATCTGTAGCAGCCAAATTTTTTTGGAGAGAGGTTCAGTTTTTTTTTTTTTTTTCCACAATCTACATTTTTTTTTTTCACAATCTACATTTTTTTTTTTTTTTTTGACAGGCAGAGTGGACAGTGAGAGAGAGAGACAGAGAGAAAGGTCTTCCTTTGCCGTTGGTTCACCCTCCAATGGCCGCCGCGGCCGGCGCGCTGCGGCCGGGGAACCGGGGTTGACCCAATGGCAGGAACCAGGAGCCCGGGCTTTTTCCCGGCCCCCATGGGGGGGCGGGGCCCAAGCACCTGGGCCATCCTCCACTGCACTCCCTGGCCACAGCAGAGGGCTGGCCTGGAAGAGGGGCAACCGGGACAGAATCCGGCGCCCCGACCGGGACTAGAACCCGGTGTGCCGGCGCCGCTAGGCGGAGGATTAGCCTAGTGAGCCGCGGCGCCGGCCAGTTTTTTTTTTTTTTTTTTAAGATTTATTTATTTATTTGCAAGTCAGAGTTACACAAAGAGAGGAGAGGCAGAGAGAGAGAGAGAGATCTTCCATCCGATGGTTCACTTGCCAGATAGCTGCACGGCCGGAGCTGCGCCAATCTGAACCCAGGAGCCAGGAGCTTCTTCCTGGTCTCCCACGTGGCTGATGCGCCCTAAGAGATTGGCCCATCTTCTACTGCTCTCCCAGGTCATAGCATAGAGTTGAACTGCAACCTTAGCACCTCGCACTCGAAACATCCCCCATACATCATGCCGGCGCCTCAGCAGAGGCTTCTCAGCCGATGTGCAACAGGACCAGGACCTGTCTAATGTTTTAAGTTGATCTCATTATTT